TCTATAACATAATTACATATGTACATATTTTAATGCATATTTCCACTCTTTAAGTGTGAAAAACACACACAGTATCTTCCAGATAGCCAGCAATATGAGTTTTCCAAACCATAGAGAAAATGGGGCATGTTGCAGATTAATTGTAAAGTAACACTAAATTATATAGTATGTAATTCTGTATAACCTGAGATTGTTTGTCTGATTATTTAAAACTGTACATTATATTGTGCTCACTTCGGCAGCACATATACTAAAACTATACATCATAGAATCCAAAAGATTTCTTAATCTCAGGTTCTACCTGATGATTGACTCTCTCCTGTAATATTGCCGCAATTAAAATCACATTTACACAACAATTTCAGCAAGGAAGAGAATTCTTTATTTTGTCTCAATGTTAGGGTAAAATTATTTTTGGTTCCTTGAGTCTCTTATTTCCATTTGGAGCTTGAGTATTGATGGTAAATAGAAAGCAAGAGATGTAAGCATTATTGACTGTTTGGTTTCAGATATTTTCTTGGAATTAAACTTTTTCTTCATAAATCCATAGAAATAAAATGAAGATATAGAATAGTCATTTTTGGTAGTTTCCACATTTGAAAGATCTTCACTTCTGTTATTAGTCATCTTTATTGTGTTTAACAGTAAGGCCATTAAATGAAATGAAACAGAAGTTTTCAAAATGCTTATACATCCTAATTGACAAGATGATCAATTTCCTGGATTTTCTAATGGCATAAACAGGAAGTTACAGAATATGTATAAAGGGAATCTCAGAACTATGCTATCCAACTTCATTATCACTTGTTCTTCATCCTTTTCAAAAGTAAGAATTTTATAACCGGTTGTTTTGCTGAAACTTAGTTTTCCCTTAGAATTGAAATATACCAAAGTTAATCTGAACACGATATTTCTTAGAAATTTTAAACAAACTGAATTGTCACATGAATGATTGAAAGTATTTTGCTTGAAAATTATATAATGACTGTTGAAGGTAACATGTAATGGAAAGCCAAAGTTGTAACCTGACCACTTCCAGGAGTATTTTCCATCTTTGAGAATCTTTTTACCACATCTCATGCTATATCCTTCAAGCTCTGTTTCATTGATGTCTCGGGGCCCAATTTCTCTGTTTTGTTCTGCTTTAAGCAAGGTAAACCATTGTTGTTTATAAACATATGATAACCATTCAGAAGGTATCACAGTATCTTGCTCAATAACCCTCGTGGAGGCCAGGTCGCAGATCATATGGTGAAACCTCAACTTTTTAAACACTGGTTGAAATGCTATGCCTTCTGTGGTTTCAAGAAAGGTAATGGCATTCACAGCTTCCCTGTGCCTGGAAAACCATTGGTTTGCATGAACTAAAAGCTGTCTTATTGAGCCTTTCCAAGCTGGGTTAAGACGAATGAACATCCACTCTTTAAGTGTGGTGTACACATCCATTTCCTTTTGCATTACTAATAAATTAGAAGAAGAAATGAGCATTTTCATGAGATCTATACTGAGTTCTTTGTACAGTTGAATACTTGGATGTGTCATCAAATTGTGGAGAAGCCATTCGAAGCACTCTGTCTTTACAGACTCTAATCCATAGGTTTCTGCTGCTGCATAATAGCTACACACAGTTTTTGCATTAATTGTTTCCTTCATGGTCTCACCACAATGCCGAACTAACTTCTCTACTTGAAGCAGGCGTGCTGTTGCCAAAATTCGTGGAACTCGAAGGGGCTCCCTTAAGACATATTCATCCCAGTACAACGAGCCTAGTACAAAGTGCAGGGATTCTGTGTCTATACTCTGGTCATTAACCTCCAGGTCAATAATATCTATGCGAGATTTTTCCAAAGAACCTCTCAACATAGTTGCAAAGTAGCCCGACTGACGTAAAAACATTTTGTGTAAACACCATACTTTCCCCAGGGCACGGATTTTAATGTCACTGTTTTCCCCAGTCAAAAAAAAAGTTTCGTAAGCATACTCAGATGTGATCTTAGCCTTTTTACCGTGCCTCTTGCTGACATATTCTTGTCGATTTTCTTCTGGATCTAGAAAACTGCGGTTGTTGTCAGACTCTGAGCCCAAGGACGTCTCACTGTTCTGCTCGCGTTTGCGTTTACGGCTGCCAGATGCACAACTGGGACCTGCCTGGTCTTCTGGCTGATGCAGATCAACTATTTCGGAATCATGGCGTCTCAGGATCCGACTGCCCAAGGACCCCATAGATGAAAGCTTTCAGAGCCCCTAAAGGAGACTGCTCTAGAGACTTCCTTGCTATGATATTGCTGAGGCCTGCCACCTCGGCGTAGTCTCACCTGGACCCGCTGGCGCAGTCACAAACGTAACAGAGGCCTTACATTCTTCGTTGTGTCCCCCACCCCCACCCCTGCGGCCCCACCCTCTGCCTTCAGTAGTCCATTGAGCCTGGTCCCTTGCCAGGGCCTCAGCCTCCAGATTTTCCTTGAGAATGTTTTTCTGTAAGGGAAACGAGTGGTCTAAAGGCTTTTCGATCAGGGTGTTAAAGATCGTACACATTCATGCTCCCAAATCCAGAGTACGAGAGAATGCAACTGTCAGCAGTATTGAATGTAACCATTTACTTACAACTTTTAGCAATTAAAAAAATGAACAATAATATCTCACTATTTCATTTGTCTTTGATTACTAGAGGGGGGAGATTTCAAAAATTTTTTGGTAAGCTACATCTTCATATTTGCTGATTTCTGAAAGGTTTACATATATTTTCTCCTTATTGATTGCTAAAAGCTT